GAAGAACATATCAGCCTGTGTGATCACGAGGTGTCGAACGGATCACTGGAAACAAATGGGTGCATAAGCAAATGTGGCGAAGAAAGCTGATGGTGGCCAGCTATCAAAAGGTATAGTGTCTGGGATCTTAAAGGCTTGAAGGTAAACAAGTGGCCATCTAGCTCAGAAGCAACAAAGCCCACATGGAACAAGCACACCAGCCTGTGTGATCACGAGGATGTCAAAGGGATCAGGGATCAGGAATCGTCAGAACAAAAAATCTGTGTGGAGCATAACAACTTGTGGGTAATACTGTAAAAATAGGAATTCAAGAACATTTAATTGTGCTCACATGGAAACTGTACACAGTTATTTGAGCTGAACAAGGGGAAGGTATACATTGCAGTTGTATACTTTCACCATTCACATTCAATGAGTATACTGAGCACATAATTTACAACTACATAGAGAACACAGCATCAGGATTGCAGGAATAACTATGAACAAACTGTAATATACAGGTGACACAACTTTGCTTGCTGACTGTGAAGAAGACTTGGTACTTTCCGATGAAGATCAACGATGACTTCAACATCAAGAGTACAAAATTCTTCACAAGTGGACCTGTAAGCACTATCATCAACAAAGACTGAAGTTTTCATGGATTTCACTGTACTTGGAACCACTAGCAACATCTGTGGAAGCAGCAGTCAAGAAATCAAATGCCCTAGTGCCCTGGGCAGATCTACTGCAAAAAAATCCCCAAAACTCTACCGAGTGTTCAAGAGCAAAGATGCCACTTTGAGGACTGTGTTCCGCTAGGCTGACTAGAGAAACAAATCCAGTGACACTCATATTGTATAAGGAAGAGCTTTATATCAAGGAGTAATTATATATCAAGAAAGGATCCCAGCCCAGTCCAATTCAAGTCTGTAAGTCCAATACTAGTCCATATGTCCCTCTTCAGACTCACACAGCCACAAGAAATGATGCAAAATGCAGGAAGATCACAGGTCAGTCGAGGGAAAGTTGTGTGGATCCGAGATCCATGGAAAACAAGGCAGGACTCCAGCAGCATTCAGGGTGTCCAGCAAGGGGGAAGATAAAGGGGGACAGAAGGAGAGAGAGGGGGAGAGAGACTGGTCTCGAGAGAGCTATAGATCTTGGTTGCACCTCCAAGGGAGGTCACCAGGCTGTGACCGGAGTGACAGGCTAAACTCCACCCTTATCTTCTTACAGGTGCCCTGTTGGCACACAAAAAAGCTATCACAAGGACTAAGGTGCACCTGACTCAAGCCATGATATTTTCAATGGCCTCGGATGCAGGGGAAGCCAGACAATGAATAAGGGAGAATGGATAAGAAGGGATGCATATGAATGATGGTGTTAGTGAGGAATGTGGAAGGCTCCATGGACTGTTAAAAAAACAAACAAATAAAAAGCCTGTCTTTTTGGAAGGAGAGTCGGACTGCTCCTTAGAAGTGAGAATCGTCTCGTGTACTTTGGACATGCTATTAGGAGGGTCAGTTTCTGGATTAGGCCACGTTCGATAAAGTAGGCCATCAAAAAAGAGGAAGAGTCCCAACGAGGTGGACTGTGACAGTGGCTACAAAAAAGGGCCAAAGACAGCAACCATGGTGAGGATGGCACAAGACTGCTTTCTTCTGTTGTAAACAGGGTTGCTGTGAATCAGAACTGACTCGATGGCACCTTCAACATTACCACCTGAATTCCTGACAGTGTTTTAAAGTGCTTGGCTGATAAAAATAAGGCTGGAGGTTTTAACTCACCAGCTGGCTCTGTGACAGTCAGCTTCCATCAAGATTTACGCTTTGGAAAGCCTGCAGGGTGGATCTGCTCTATTCTACAGGCTAGAACTGGGACTGAGCTGGAGCCTAGCTGGCAGCAAAGACCACAGAGCCCGAGGCAGTGCCACGAGCAGGCACACTGGCAAGTATGCCAATACCTTGGGCACTGACATCTTTCAATGTTGTTTCAGTTCAGCTCACTGATAACACTGAGCTGGGCATCATCAGCCTTGATGCCCACGCTGTCCAGGATTTTCTTGATGTCACCGGCACTAGGGGAGGCATTGCCCGAGGGCAGGTGGTAAAGTAGCACATCTCAGCGTGCATTCTTGGACAGCCTCACATGTGCAACCTCAGTGGCATCAAGAAGGGAAAGGCTGTAAATGGTTTGCTCATTTTTAAAATTCAAACCATAACTTGTCATCTCTTTATATTCCTACAAAGGTATATACCATCACAAGAATGCTATAGATTGTTGTACTGCATTCTGGCTCATAATATTTAGATCAATTGTTTTTGTTGCCATTTTCTGTGAAAAATCTATTGGAATTTCAATATTCACATTATATACTAACTCATTCCATCTTACTTGTCATTCGATTAAATTACCAGCATGCTATCCAGTATTGCATATTATATATCAGAGTAGGTAAAAAAAGTATTACTACCAAATAATAGAAATCTTTACAAATAAAAATATCCAAATGCGCCTCCATATATCCTCTATCTGAAAGTGAGGTGTTCTTTATCTCTAACCCTTCCCTGAAGGAGTCCTCGTGGTATAGTGGTTATGCATTGGGCTGAGATTCATAAGGTCAGCAGTTCGAAACCACCAAGTAGCTCCAAGAGAGAGAGAGTGGGCTTTCTCCTCCTGTAAACAGTTCTAGTCTCAGAAACCCACAGGGAGTCACTGAGTCAGCACTGACTCTGGCAGTGAGTTTGGTTTGGAACCCTTCCCTAAAGAATTCTGATCTCTTCCATTTAAACAAGGTTCAAAAATGTTTTGACAACTTTGAGGGACTTAATTATGTTCCTTGTAAATGCTCTCGAGTTTGAGGAACAAAAAGAAGTCTGAAGGTATAAAATCAAGGCTGTGGGATAGATGCAGTAAGGTTTCCAAACAAAATTCTCATAAAACAGCCCTTGTTACCCTCAAGGGCATGATCCTGTGGGGGGAGTTGGGAGTGGGGGGGCACAGAATGGGTACTTTTTTATATCATGATGGGAAAAATGCCTTCCTACAACTTTCCTGGCCTTTGCTCACCCATGCAGTTTTCAATTTTCGTAAAACTTCTTCCTAATAAACCCTGCGACTTATGTGTCCTTGGAGGCAATCTATCAAGATTAATCTTTTGGAATATCTAATAAATAGACACAATAGCCTTGAATGTAACTGGCCCAGCAGATCCCTCGGAAGCCACTGTTTTGATTGGACCATGCTCTCTGGATCATACTAGTGAATCCAGGAATCATCCCGTTAGAATTTGTTCCACAGAATCGCCATTAGCTTTGATCTTGTTCTTTGACTAACTGATCTTCACACATTTTTTGCACCGAGAAGCTTGCTGAAGCCAACGGGTTCACTTAAAATGGAAAATGCCAAACTAAGTGAGACCCTAACTTCAGTAGCTGTGTCATCAGGTCATTCTACAATCTTCCAACACCAGTTTCTGGCCTTCAGCCAGTTTCTTCACTTGTCCAGGGTGATGATCTTGGCTCTACTTTGAGGTCTTCCCAACCTTCCTTAAAATTATTGATCCAACTAAAAACGGCCGCTTTGTGTGGAGCAGCATTCCTGCAAACTTGTGGAAAAGCGTCAGTGATTTGGGAAGGTGTCCACTGACCTCAAAATCAGTTTTTTTCCTGATATAAAAAAGTATCCCATCCCCTGCTACCGACACACATTTTTGGGGGGGACCAAAATGAGTGATTTGGTGGTAGCCATTCACTGATCTCAGAAATATGTTGAAACACGTTTGGCTTGTAATAAACCTGTGCACATAGGAACTAAACCCCTCAAGGCAATACCTTTTTGCTTTCCCTAGATAAACTGACCAGTTTCTATATGCATGATACATGGCACCTCTGTATACTGAGCGACATGGGTCTTTAGGAAAGCACAATGTTTCAGCAGGAAGAAAGTGAAAGCTGGAACAGGAACTAGCTCTAATTCAGCTGTTTAACTGAAATGCATGTATTTTTTAATTTTAGAAAGAAAACACCTGAATAACATTCTTACAGTTTACACATAAAACAGGTGATCATAAACCGTAGGGTACCGTTTCTTCTGGTCCAGAGAATTAAGTCGGAACCAACTTGACGGCAGTGAGTTTGTTTCAAATCAGCCTCCTCAAAGGACTAGTTAGCTTTACAAACCCTTCTGAGTTTCCTATCCAGGGCTTCAGTTCAGGATTTCCCCCCATTCACTATCATTCTGGAATGTGCAAATGTTTAAAATTCGGGTCTGTTCCAATTTCATTTTTATTTTTCACATTCAACAGATAAAAGCAAAGCAGTGCCCATTGAAGTGCCCTGGTTCTTATCCACTGAAGCCCACCTGACACAACCTGACACGGTCCTGAAGCCTTTCCTTGGAGCACAGATGAAGGCCAAGAGGTTCGGGAAAAAGATCTGGAAAGCCAGACCCCAAAGGCCTCCCAGCAGCTCCGTCTGGGGACTGGAGTGAGCCAAGGTGGAGCATGGGATAAGCAACGGTGTGAAATGCCAGCATCACTTTCATAAAGCCCTACATTTCTCTACTAAATCACACTGCAGTGAAAGTGAATGTCTTTGGGCATCGCGCGTTGCCATACTTAGAATTATTTCCTGAAGATAAAACTTACAAAGGTGAAGAAGTTTCAAAATTTAGGTTTTCTACAAAGTACGGCTTAAAATGGGGCACTCAAAGCCTAAGACTTAAGTTTTTTTTTTAATCCAGTCTATATTAGCAAAAGTTGATTCTAGTGTAAGGCATAGGAAACCCTAATCTATATAGTCAACTAGCAGTCCCCACATGTCTGAAAAACACACTCTAGAGAAAGTTGAATCAGAACTTGAAATTCCTCTACCTTTCATGAATTTCTCAGAGTCTTCCTTAACACTTTACAGGAAGAATGATTCCTTTACAAGTCAGCTCTGTGAAGTCATCCTTTCTGTGACAGGACAATCATTCTCTGGCAACAAAATGACATCATTAAATTCTTAGTTGTAAGTTTTGGGTACATTTCTATACAGATATCTCTCGTGTTAAGCTGCTAACTGCAAGGTCAGTGGTTTGAAGTCACCAGCTGCACTGAGAGGAAAAGATGGGGCTTCCTACTCTGGTAAAG